GCATCCTCAACGACTTTCTCCTAAAAATTGTGTTTTTAAAAAAAATATTTTAACTGTGAAATTTGGTGGACCAGAAACTCCTTGCCATACAATCTAGCTAATAGCATTGTTTCTCTGAGTGGTATAGAACAAGGGAAAAAGCTGCAACTAAAAGAACAGAGCAAATAGGATTTTCTTTTTGCAGGGAATCTGTAGCACTGTAGGCAAAGTCAAACACTATTCCTCTACATCAATGACTGTCTGTACAGATCTATATGCAGATGCTTTAGGGAGCACCAGTTACTGAAATCAAGAAAAATGCTTTTTGCAGGATCATTCACATGCACTGTTTCATCTTTTCTCAGCAACTAAGATATCACATCCTTTTAAATCATTGAAATATACTATACTACTATACCATTCTTAAATGAGGCTTTGCATAGAAGTAACAAGAGAGAAAATAGGTATTTTATGTCCCAAATCTAAGAAGGATATAAAAACAAAAATGTTTAAACCCCTTAGATTCCAGCCAGCATCTTTCAAAAATCCAATTTGCCAGATTTCTAAAATACAAATATTAGCAAGAAACCAAGATCACATTTTAGCTTAATCTGGACATTCAAAAACACTTGCACAGTGAATCCAAACACACTGCATCTACAGAAAAATGAATATTATTGAGGTGACAAATCACAAAGTAAATGGTGATTTGTGGCAGAGAAGTTACCTATTTTAACTAACTAGACTTCTACACAGATAATGTAGACACACAAACTTCATCCAGCCATTATATCCTAAAATCAGGGACAACACAAGTGGCCAATGGCATACATATATGCCCAGTCTCCAGGAAGCTCATAATGCTCTCATGTTCAAGAGCACTGGAAGCATGTTCAGCAGGACATGCATGCAAGCACCACCTCTATCCTTTGCACTGAATGTGAAAAGGTCTCACTGATATCTCAGTGGGGGAACATTTGGGGCAGGACTTAAGTGAATCTTATCCCCATCATAGCTACACCCATCCCTGGTTTCAGCCCATAATGCCTGCAGCACGCTGTGTCCTTAAGCTTTTCTTTCTGATTTAGAGCAATGTTTACGGATGCCAGGAAAGTATAATTTGCTCATATTTACAGTTTTCAAGCAGTTTTCCTCATACATAACACTCCTAATTAACCAGTAACACTTTAATGTTGCAAATGTGTACAACCTTCTTCTGTCTGTGCTATTCATACTCTGCAGTAAACCAAACCAATGAGCTAGTTCAACTAACGGAAAGTATATATAAAATAATGGTCAGGTATTTTTAGTTTTCCACAAAATAGAATTCAAAATAATCCAACAAAAATTAATTTTCTTTTCTAAGCTTCTTTTAAAAGTTTTTAAATGATATAATACAATTATACAAAAGACAAAATAAATAAGAATAATTTAAAGAGAAACAAAAATGAAACAACACTCATAATAAAACATCCATATTTCATCTCCCAACTTAACCAGCCACTATCATCCTATCTTCTAAACTGTCAAACAGGTGAAGAAATCTACTAGTTTATTTTTATGATGCTGCATTTTACAAGATCTAAAAACACTGGTTTTTTATATATTACTGGACTGCATTTTAAAAGCATTAGAAATAAATGCCTCACAACTACCTCATTTTAAAATGCAGTAAACTTTAGAGGTCGATAAAAGAAGTTTAATAAGAATAATAGTTAAGAGAGGATGGAATGCACTTAAATAAAACCTTTAAAGTAGAGAAGCAGGCAATTTAGCACTGCATACTTTATTTATTATACACTAGAAACTGACAGACATCCCCCTGATTAATTAGGTGCTGGTAAAACCAAACCCACCTGACTGGAGATGTCCATTGCGGCATACCAGGTTAGTACTGTCACTATAGACTTCCATTTGCAGCTTGGGGATTTGCTTAACTGCCTGCATCTTCTCTATGCAGCAAAACAGAGGAGGGGAAAGGACAAATAAAAAACAAAAAAATGAACCAATGAAAAGTTACATACACTAATCACACCAAAATGACTTTGTCTTTAGTTAACTTGTTTTGAATTATGGTACAGAACATATGTCTAATGTTGACTATGTAATGAAACAAATATTACATCTAGCAAGTGAAGTACTATTATTATGAAAAAGTTGTGAACTGTATTCAGTAACCAAATTAGTCTGAAACAACAATGAAAGGACTGGTAGGGAACTTTTCAATGCAATAGGAAAAAACTTAACTATAGATATCAACAGGAAAAAGAGAGATGTATGTGAAAATCTATAACCAGTTGGTACATGTTACAACTAGATTTTTGTTTCCATCAAGCTTAGATGGGAATTCTTTTTATATAATTACTAGTTCACATTTAAAAACTAATGTAGTAACACAAAAGCTTTGTCACAGCTACCCCTCCCCGTTGTGCAACTTCCTTTTGTCTGGTCACCTGACTGTTTAGGTAATTGTCTCTTTAAATTACCAGAGGAATAAATGTGGTGATTTAAATTAATAATCTTCACTTATTTCCTCTCTCCCTCTTCTGCTGCTACCAGCCTTTAGCTGCATCTGTGTGTATGTACCTGCCCCTTTTACTCAGGCCCTTAAACTACCCTTCATATAGCCAGCCCTCAGATACTGAACTTAGCACCACACTGCTTGAATAGAACCAGTAAGGTGTTATTAAATGTAGTGTTAAAAAGCATTATTTTTTCTGAGGCTTTACATTCATTCAGTGCAATCCTTCACTTTCTCTGTTATCTCACAACCTCTAACTTTTCCCTCCAACTTCATTCTGAGATCTCACAATTCAAAATCACTGTCTTCTCAATCTTGTCATCTCACATGGCTCACAAAATACTCCCCCTAGTTTTTCCCAGCCAATCAGAAACATTTTTACCAGCATTCCATGTTCCTCACTCACTTCCTCCCTTCACATACTTAATATAGTGTACTGTATTGTACAAAAGGTCAATTCAGCATTCCATAAGCCAACTCAAAAAACAGGGGTGACCCCAAACAAAAAATTACAACTCTGAAACTGGTCCTCAGATCAGCACCAAATCTAGCACAGGTGTAGCAAATAGTCTGCTCTTGCTCTGTGCTAAATTTAGGGATGTTTCAACAATTTTTGAGTTATGGCTTTTTAAGAGTAAAGCTGTTTTACCACCACCACCAGTACAGACACTACAGATTCCAAACAAGTACTGAAAATACCAAACTTGCTTACCTTGAAAGACAACAGCTAGTCTCAGCACCCACTTTTTTTAATTAAGAAGGAATCCAGGCATCAGGGGAGCAATACTAAATTTTTAAAAAGCAATTTGAGAGCAGTCAAAATGGTCTACAGAATACACTACCACTCACACTTGTTGGAAAACAGCCCCTACTATTATTTAGTGTTTGGGTGAGAAATTGTTAACTGATGAAAAAAGGACTTCTGGGATTTTCCCCATTGCGTGGTATCACTTTGTGAATGGTAGTGACCAAAGGAAAATATCCTGTAGACCAGTGGTCCCCAACCTTTTTTGGAACTGCGGACTGGTTGATGGGGTGGAGTACGTGTGCGGAGGGCATTCCCTGTGCTCGCGGATGGGCAGGGCACGCTTGTGCACATGCATGGAGGGGAGGGGCATGCTTGCAGAGGGGGTGCTCACGTGCATGCTCATGTGGAGGGGCGTGCTTGTGGGTGGGTGGGGCACGCATTTGTTTGGGTGGTGGGCTGTGCGTGCAGGTGGGGTGCGGGGGAATGCGTGCGGGAGGGAGATCTGTCTCCATGGCCCGGCCCTGCCATGGCCACAGACCAGCAACAGGGTGTGGAATGGGGGTTGGGGACCCCTGCTGTAGACCATCTTGACTGCTGCCCTAGAGGCTATCAATATTCAGGCTGTCCTTTGCCAACAGATTAGTAGAAAGATTTTTTAAAAACTATGAAGGGCATGCTTAGGAAATTAATAATGGAAAAACTAACCAATGGCATTTGTTAGTGGAACCACTGATGTTTACCATTACGGAGGAATCTCAAGCCTCCACAGGGTTCTCACCCTTTGAAATGATATATGGCCGGAACCCTTGAGGAGTATTAGATTTGGTAAAAGAAAAATGGGACAGCGGTAAAGATTAATCTCAGATAATAATTAAACAGGTGATAGAGATGGGATCACATTTGAATAAGATTGCAGAAATGGCCAAAAATCCATTACAGAAGGTGCGACAAGGCCAGAAAAAGAGCTATGACTCAAGGGTACAGTTTATCCTGGGACAAAAAGTGTTACTATTGTTACCAGCTGAAAATGCAAAACTCTCTGTGCGTTGGCAAGAACCATATGAGGTTATAAGAAAAGTGGCACCAGTAGATTATGAAATAGCTATGCAAGACAAGAAGAAGAACACAGGTATATTTCATGTGAATTTGCTGAAAGAATGGAAAGAGAGGGAAGTTTTTTTGGGGGAGGTTGAAGATGAAGACTTTGGTCCTGAGGCATTGGTTTGCATACAACCACCAGCAGTGATACAGTTAGAGGAAGAGACAGAAGCAGAACAGATTCCTCAGATAAGAAATTTGGAGAAAGTTTAAGGATCTCTTTTCAAACAAACCAGGATTAACCCCAATGATTGAACACCATATGAATACTCCACCTCAGATGGTAGTCAGGACTGGCGTATGGAACTGGCCACATCATCTCAAAGAGATTCTTAATCAGGAAGTAGCAGAATTGCTCTATTTAGGCATGATTGAACTCTCTTTTAGTCCACGGAGGGGCATGTGCAATACAGGGCAACTCAAACTTTGTTACTTTTCCCTACAGCTCTAGAAGATTCCGAGAGGCCAGCACAGGCGCTGTCTTAACCCACTAGTGTGGATTCATAGAGACCACACTGAAGAACCTCACTGGCTTCTGGTTTGTTTCTGGTTTGTTTCTGAGTACACTTGAAGGTTAAAGCCTTGTGCAGCTCTGAATTGCACAATTATGGAAGTATATCCTAGGACAATAACCTGAAGATATACTGAGATGTGCATTAGAAACAGTCATCTGGATCTCCTTGTCATCAGGAATGAAGTGGGCAGATACGGGGAGAAGAACGTCTTTGCTTGTGGTGCCTATTTTGCTTGTGAAACTCTCTGTACAGGGGTATGTTGCCAAGGATCTATGGAGCTGTTCAGGTACTAAGCAAAAAACTGTTTGCTTGTTGTTGATTTGTTCCTGCAATGTTTATTTTGTGTTACCGTGTTTATGTTTTTATTTGAAACTGTAAAACATGGGCATTCTGAATTGAATGGCAGATGAAAATGTTTGGTTTACATTTGCATTTTTCACCACAGGAGTGTTGAACTCCTGTATAACTCATATGCATTAATATATGAGTGAATCCAAAACACTATTTTCTAAGAATAAACTTAACAGATTTCAGGTGTTCTAATGAAAAAAAAAAGATCAGTAAAAATCCCCTTCACATCTCTAATAGGCAATGATTCCACAGCCACACCCCACAAAGGTAAGAAGCTTATAATTAATCAACCAAAGCACCAGAATCAAGTAAAACAATTCACATTGCACACTGATGGTACATGAAAAAAGGAGCAGCAGCCCCAACATTCTAGACAGTTACTTATGCAACCTCTAAACAGACATAATGATAGCATATTAAGGTTCATCCCAGCACACCAACTTTCAAGCCGATGGCATCTACTGTCTATAAACCAGGCAAGTTTAAATATACTCTATTTTTAAGCTTTCTGCTTGCTTTATGTATAAAATTATCATTAACACTCCACTTCACAATATACAAAAATAATATATATTATTTGATGACTCTTCTGAAGTACTACGCACAATAGATAGCTACAATAAACTTTTTTAAAAATGCAGTTTATCCCAACTATAGTCCAAGAGAACAGTTTTCAGCTTTGTACATAGCCTAAAAACTTTACACCTTAAGCACATGCATGCTTAACGAGAGTTATCCTGAATTCAGTAAGACTTTCTTCTCAGCAGAGATGCATGAAATCACACTGACAAGATCTTGCTCTTAACTTAGGAGCCTCAACAACAACAACAAATCATTTCAAAGGTAACCAGTTAAATCTCCTGCAGCTAAACAAAACAAAGAGTGCTGCTTCCATGCTCTAAAAACACTTAGCTGCTACGGCTTCCCTTATCTGGACCAGAATTCTAATTCCACATGTCAAGAAGCTGCAAGAGGAACTGGAAGCATTCTTGGAAACAGCAGAGTGACATTTAAGTTATACCCTAGAAAAAAAAGACTTTGCCTCCTTCCTCAAGCGATGTACAGTACCACGGAGACCTGGAAATAATTCTTTGCAATGTAGTTTGGACAGAGAAATTACAGATTTTGAACTTTTGGGGTTAGGAACATTAAGCCTCTTCATCTGCTCCTCAGATGGAAGTCATGGCTCAAGAAGCCACACAACACATGTTTCTACAAAAAGTCAAATGAGATGACAGTTGTTAAACTGGAAAATTACTACAAAAATAAAGCTCTGCCTTTGACATATATGTAGTTCTATTAATAACTATCATTCGATGGATGTAGGGAATGTTTTACAGCAAGACAGACACCATCTTGAAAAACATGCAATCTGAATAAAGACACTGGGAAAGGAAAGATAAAGCTAATTGCGGTTTCTTTCAACTGAGATTAGCCAGATATATCATAGAAGAATCAAACAATGGGAGGAAACAGAAGAAAGCAAGCAACAGCATTAGAGAAGTGAAATATTTCTTCTGTTCCTCTGACCCCTCCCCGAACGTTTGGTCTTTCACAGAAAAAATGGAAATTTGAGAAACATTGAAAAATGCACATAACATATGTTCAGTTCTAGAAGGTCTAAAATTGTTTTTAAGATAAGGTTTCACACAGTCTTTAGATAAGAGAATTTCTGTGTCTAGCATAGCCATGTACAAAAAGCAAATTTAAGATTCTGACCTAAAAGCTACTGCCATCTTCCCAAGAGCAGCATACAGAATAGTTTTAGTTTTTTTAAAAAAAGTTTTTCATGTGAAAAAGGACTGCAAGAGTTATCCATAAGAGTAGTAGAAAATCTTCACTGGTCAGATGTCTTCCAGTGAAAGATAAAAAGTGTCCACAAAAACTTCCATCTGCAGTCTCTATCTCTTTATTACCTTCTTCAAACTCGTACCTATAGTTTTACTTTATGCTGCAAGATTATGTTGCTTTGAATTTTCATGAGTAGTGCATGAGCTTTAGTGCTAGATATAAATTTCCATGAGAATATAAACAGAGATGTAAATTGTGTTTTGTTTAGCTGAGCAATAAATCTTGCTTCTTCCCTGCACTCAATCTCAACTGTAACTATAAGTATCTTTCTTGTTTCTATTATCCTACTAAAGGCCCAATATACTTTTTTAATCTGCAACAGTTTTTAACATTTGTATAGATAAAATTAAAACAAGAAACAGTAATGGAACTACAAACATAGTAATATTTTCTAAAACAAACATATATGTACATAAACATGCTAAAAGGCTTCTATAAAAGGCTTCCAAATATATTTTTTAAAATATATCCATATGTAAAATTAAAACATATTGGTATGTGATTATCTTCTATATGCCATACATTCATATGTCAGTAGCATTGTAAGGCCCTTTATTCATTAATTATAAGAGGTGGATATTTATCTTTCCAGTGTTATAAGTCTTTTACCAATGATAATGGTACAAAGAATCAATTTATGTTAGTCAGCGATCAATCTTCAAGAAGTATGTGAATACTTTAAAACTACAATGTCAAAATAACTGTCTTGACTTTGGATGTGGCAGTTCTAAGCCATCATGTTGTGTTTTATCCAGCTTCCATAGTCTTTAGCCAAGAACCTTTTCCCTGCATTTACTTTATCCATTTGTTTTATGAATAGAGATGGGGGTATTATTATACGAATATCCCCATACAGGTGCCATTAACAAGGGTCCAGCCCCATGGATCCGGATGGTCCACTCAACAATCCTCCATGGACACAGACGGCATGATTCTACCAATGGCTCCGTAGTGCGTGATCCACTTGCCACTCTTTATCCTTGCAGCGAGGCTTGTTGAATACGAATATCCCCATCTCTATTTATGAATGCCTAGCTATGAAAACCTGTATATTTCTCATTTTATGATCAAAGCATTTCAGCTATCTTCATTTTTATGACAACAAAGACATCTGCTGCCTAAGAGCAAATGCTTTAGCATCCTGGATTTCCTGCTTCTTTCCTTCTTTCTGTCTTTTTTAAAGTTCCATGCAAGGCCTGGATCTTACTGGCAATCTGAACTAGTGCAGATCCACTAAATTAGCAGCTAAATGTTGATTCAATACATGTAAATCCAATTGATTCAATGGGTCTAAGTTAGTTGGGATTGCCAGTAGGATTCTGGCCAATTGGTGACTTAAAAGTTTTCCTCTTTTCTTCCACTTCATATGTAGGTGAGGCTGGGATGGAAAAATAAGTGGAGTGAAACAAGGTCAATCAGATGATCAGACACAGCATTGACCCTAAAAAACAACAATTCATTTTGACTGATTCCCTCCAGGCCGATCATAAAGGGCTAGATCTGCCCTAATAAGCTGACTCCAGTGGCAGTCAATGCAGTGACTGATTTATCTCCCAACAGGAAAACAGAGGTTCTCCTGACCTTGTGAAGAAGACTGTATATTTACAACAAATGCAGAAAGTTCACCAATGAATTTCCAAATCTACACATCTTTACATCTTAACAATGTAATTTAACCTGTTTTTCGACAGTGTGAAAAATGTGAAGTTGGACAAAATGCATGGGTTACAATGTCACAGCTTACATAACGTCTCTAATCTAAATAGAAATGGACCAAAATATCAATGAGAATGTGTTAAGGCTGACAGCTGCTAATTACAATATCTTGAGAGATGTGCTCTTCTCTTCTACCACCAGCACTGCACAAAAGTGGAACAAAAATGTGGTATGGGGATTTCATCTTCCCTATGCAAGCACTGTGTCATAGCCTTTCCCCATTTAGTAAATAAAAACGGATTCCCATGTGCATATGCCAGACCTGGGCAAAGTGCGGCCCGAGAGCCACATATGCCCCAAAAGCCGCTCCTGTCCGGCCCGCGGACAGTTTTGAACATCAAAACCATTTATACGCCTTCTCGAAAAGACCAGAATCCGGGCCTTCTCGGCGGTGGCTCCTCGCCTCTGGAACAACTTACCCCCTGAGATTCACGCGGCTCCCTCGCTGGGCATTTTTAAAAAATCAACTAAAAGCATTGATGTTTCCGCAGGCCTTCCCCCCCTTAGTTAATCCCTGATTCCCCTTTTCTTTTCTTTCCCTAGTGTTAAACCTTATTGTTGAAAGTTTCTTTTTATGTAAAACTGCTTTTATTCATTGTTGTACCCCTTGTTGTAAGCCGCCTAGAGTGGTCTAATCGGCTAGATAGGCGGGATATAAATATAATAAATAGAATAAATAAATAAATAAATAAATATAGCTTTTTGTCTAAAGTTGATCAGTTGCTTATCTTTAACATACTGCAAAAAAACTCTTTAGTATTTGTGAAGATTAACAAGTTTTAAATAAAAACAATTATAACATTACTGTTTTATTTTATTTTTAAGTAAAGCTGGTTCGACCCCGAACAAGAGTTCAGATTTTTCATGTGGCTCCCCTATATAAATTAATTGCCCACCCCTGGCATATGCTTTGTGAACCAGCGACATAAAACCAAAAACAGAAGAAATATTATTTTTAATGGCATCAACTGTGTGGCTGACTTGAGGTGGTCAATTAGATGAGCAACTGCTACCTAGTTTTAATTCACTCTTCTCAGTATGCTAATTAATTTAGAATTGTATTTATGGTCTTTGGTTTTTATGCTTCTGAACCTGCTCCCAGTGAAGAAAAACTGCCCATCTCTTTATGCTATATTTAGAAAGATATAGTTTTGAATTATTTTAAATAGAATAATCCATCTCTACAGCAATTTAGTCTATTTAACGTATTTTTCCATGTATAAGATACCCCATGAATAAGACACACACACACCACTTTTCTAACCCAAAATTTCTTTCATTGCAAGAAAGTGGAGGGGGAAGGCAGGGATCAAAGCACTTTAATTCCTGCTTTCCCCCTCCACTTTCTTGCGAGGAAAGTGCTTTACCCCGCCACTTGCGTTGCAAAAAGTGTAGGGGGAAAGCAGCTTTTTGCAAGGAAAGTGTAGGGGAAAGCAGGAATCACTTTCCCCTTCCACTTTTGTTGCAAAATGTGGCAGGGGAGAGCAGCTTTTTGCAAAGAAATGTAGGGGGAAAGCAGGAATCGCTTTTCTCCTCCACTTTCTTTGCAAAACGTGGAGGGGGGAAGCAGGGATCAAAGCGCTTTGATCCCTCCCCCCCGTCTTACTTCTGTGTATAAAATGACTCTCACTTTTTCCTCTAATTATTTTAGGAAAAGTGTTGTTTTATACATGGAAAAATATGGTATATGCTTTCTCTGTACAGTGGTGCCTCGCAAGACGAGCGTCCGTTTAACAACGAAATTGCATCATGATGAACTTTTTGCGATCGCTTTACAATGTTTTAAATGGGTTTTTTTTTGCTTTGCGATGATCGGTTCCCTGCTTCCGGAACCGATTCTCGCAAAACGACTATTTTTGGCCAGCTGATCGGCAGTTTCAAAATGGCGACCAGGTAAAAAAATGACTCCCCGCTCTTTTCTGGGATGGATTCCTCATTGCACGGGCAGCGAAAATGGCCGTGCCATGGAGGATCTTCGCTGGACGGTGAGTTTCAAGCCCATAGGAACTCATTAATCGGGTTTTAATGCGTTTCTATGGGCTTTTAAATTCCGTATTACGATGTTTTCGTTCTACAGCGATTTCGCTGGAATGTATTAACATCATAATGCGAAGCACCACTGTATTTTAAAACTTCAGTTTAAACTTCTATCCAGCAGATATTCCTATACCTTCCACTATGAAACTGTCCACTTTTAGTGCCCTCTACTAAATATACTTACTATGGGTAAATTGATTATCTTAACTTTTTCAAACAGCAAACTCAACTTAGCAATGCCATGCTACATTTCTATTTTCTGTTTACTCAAACTCCAGAGCCATTTCTTTTAAACTACCAGCAAAATCCAAAACATGAAAATATTCTTGTATCTCTGTCACAATATACCCACTTACTCAACTTAAATAAAAACTAGTGGGACAGTGAAATATTATTTTTTAAAATTAGAAAAGTCAAGTTTTTCAAGTCTCCAATTCCTTTCTAGTAAAAGATTCTTAAATAAATGCACTTTGTACAGTTTCCTAGAAGTAGAAGAACAATAACAAGTAGTACCTAACAGCTCCAAACGGTCCTTTGCCATTGCCAAATTTGTCTTCATTTTAGCCTGGAGACGGCGAGCTCGTTCATAATGATCTCCTTAAAGAGAAAGTTAAATATTCAGAAAAGAAACAGAAAAAGCCCATATGATTACCTGTTCTTACATTTATGTTAAATATTCAGACAGTTACAACAGCAATGTCTATAATACATCTACTAATAAAATGTGAAAAATATTAATATTAAATCCAAATTAAAATATAAATGCACCTAGAAATAACTGATGCACCAAGGAGGCCCTTAAAACCCTATGTGATCACCTAACATAGTAAGTCTGTCCATGATCTTTTCTGCTTAAGGCAGTTTACATATATGACAAAAGGATAACAAGGTACATAGAGACCAATATATTTTTGTTTTATGACCAACTAGTCTACTCCCAATTGAAATATTCTGTTCCCTATTAACATTTAGATATAATTTCACATGATTGATAACAGTGTTAGACCTCCTTCTGAAAAGGTAAAGTTAAAGGTTTATTACTGGTGCATTGGCCAGTCTTCCATGGGGATTCTGTGCCTCAGGAGGGGTTGAGTTCAGACAATGGGATCTATTTTGTGACAAAAAAAATAGTGTGGGAGGTTCAGGTTCCCCTTGACAATTAAGTACAGTCATGTCCAACTCTAGCAGCTGGTGCTCATCCCTGTTTGTAAGCTGAAGAGCTGGTGTTTGTCCATAGACACCTTCCGTGGTCACGTAGGTGGCATGAGTAAACATGTTCCAGAATGCCATTACCTTTCCACCGAGGTGGTACCTATTTGCATTTGAATGCTTTCAAACTGCTAGATTCGCAGGAGCTGGGACAAGCAATGGGAGCTCATCCCGTCAAGCGGATTTGAACTGCCAACCTTTCAATCAACAGCACAGTGGCTCAGCAGTTTAACCCACAGCGCCATCTGCATCCCTTCTGAGAAGCACTCTATTTCAAGTTTTTTAATTATGTAAAATTTTTGTTAGGTTATGCTACAATAGGCACTGTGCAAACTGTGGGCAGCATGTGCCACTCTGGGGCCCAAATATACAGCCAGTTTCCAAAACCACTCAAAAACTGCACTTCTTGTGAAAAAGGTTTTTTTTTTGTCTCAGAAAAAACAAAACAAAAACCTTTGCTCTCTATCAGGTACAATTCTACCAAGTTTTGAGGGTCCTCCAAACCCATGGTTCCCCACCTCCTCAATTAAAAAAACAAACTGATGACTAGACTGTTCAAGAGGGTTTTTTCCCCAGTTAAAACATTCTTACTTTTCAAAGAAACAAAACTTCACCAGAAAATCTATAGAGGCATTACATATAGATCCAAGTTATCAATTCAAAATACAGAATTTAAAAGCTGTTGGGCAGTATATTTACTATTCCAAACCAAAATGAGCCATATGCACACAAAACCAATAACTGGGAAGATTTTTATTCACATTCAATACTTCAGTTGCAACTTACAGTGGACCCTTGACTTACGGAATTAATCCGTATTGGAACGGTGGCTGCAGGTCAAAAAGTCTGTAGGTCAAGTCTCCATTGACCTACAGTGCATTGAAAACCGATTAATCCCGTAACAGGCCGTTTTTGTTCCATTTTGGTTTTTTTCTGGTCTGTAAGTCAATTCTCAGGCTGCAAGTCAAACCTAAATTTTGTGGCCAGAGAAGTCTGTAACTCAAAAAGTCTGTAAGTCAAGCCGTCTGTAAGTCAAGGGTCCACTGTATTTCTTAATACTAGTATTAAACTGAGAATAGATGTTGTGTTCTGATTACTAACAAGCAGACTCCCCTCATGATAGGTGACATTTTTGGCCATTAATCCTACAATGTTCTGGCAGTACATACTGCTAAAGCCTCTTAGTATTTCTCTTCCAAGTAGATATTCTAGAGACTAAGACTGGAACATGATGACATATATCAGGCTTTAGAACCCTTTGCTCCTCCAAATATTATTCAATTCAGCTCTTGGGAGTCCTTACTACTAATCACGCAGGCCCAATCCATCATCATCTATATAGAAAGACTGATAACTTTGTTTCCTCTACTTCACAAATTGGCATTACTTGGAACAGAATCAGTTTTGGATCTGGTGTGTCAAAGTCCCAATAAAATAAACAAAAATTAATTTAATATAGATGTCAAACATATACAAAATGGGCAACACAATCTCAATTGAACTTTATTTGGCTCAGGTATCTGATAACATGACTACGGACAAGAAAATAAATTTCAGATACAAGAACAAAGTGTTTTAAAATCTGTAATTTCAAGCTTTAGTTCTACAAAAGCCAGGTATTTCTTCTAAACTATTTCACACATGTTTTCCAAACAACATACATTCACATTTGTCCAATTTGCTCACAATTTCTCACACATACAAAGTTGGCTTACCTTGACCGATAACTGGTATCGCTATCCCTTCCTCCAGGTCTTTAATCCCCCTTCTATACCATTCAACAGCTTGTTCCTTTTGTCCTGCTGAAAAAAGACAGCTGTGTTCTTTACATTATGAAGAAACAAGTCATCAAAATTCTAGACACTGTATAGAACTTACACAACTGTGCTGCAGCACACAAAATATAAAAATAGATATGTCTCCTGGCACTGATGTTTGATCAAGCACAAAATATATGTAGGACAACTTTTTTAAAAAAAAATAACATTGATACAGATAGTGCTGTCTGTGATTTACACACATTCAATACCAAAGTAATCTGACCAGTAGTATTTAAAGAAGGGGTAACAGCATCCCACTACATAGATGGAGAACACAGACAGAGATAGTGGTTTGACTATAATCATTCAATAAGTTCATGTGACATTTTAAATTAGTGCTTTAAAATTCAAAACTCTGGCATTACACTACTCCCGACTGCACTTTAAGATATGAAATATTTATACAGTATAAGCATATCAGTTTAGAAGTCAGAGAGCCCAAAATCAAAGTTAAAAGGAAACAAAGCCTGCCTAGTCCAGCCAAACACAAGAACAGAAAGCTAAATTATCCATACAGGCATTCACGTCAGTCCACAATAATCAGACCTTTCCTGGCCATGAATAACGACAAGACAAACCAGCAGAAAGCACCTGTAAACCAAATAGCTTCAGATGATTCATGAAAGTAAAGTAGCCAAGACTTTAGGGGGAGGGGAGGGGCAGACAAAATAGGCAGGATAATTGGGCAATATGATAATTCCTTCCAAACTATCAGTCAACTGGAAAACAAAACAACTGTTTCTTCTCTAGAAATAATTATAACCAGATCCTATGGCAGACAGGAGGAAGTGGGCTGCCCATGGCATTGGTTTGGGAGGCACTATACACCAAATTTCACCCCTTTCTCTAACAAAGTTTGCCTTGTAGAATGGCAAAAATATATTTAAATCTAATCTGACAACTCAAACTCAGATTTAATTATCTGAAATCCCCAGTTGGGCCATACCTTTATTACAACCAACCAAAACACCACAAAATCATGCACACATTTAAGCTCTTCATCTGGATAGGTGATATAAAAATACAGGGGTGGGGACAAAGTGTAAGTCTAAACATTAGGTCAGATCTTGCATCCATTAGGTCTGCAGTTTGGATTTGTTCTCAAAATAGAGACTGCAGAATAAATAATTTGCTTGTTCATGTTACACATATAACATCTCCAAGCCCTAAACTGTACATTATGCTAGCACTTCATCTAATACCCGAAAAAATATTAAGGCAGATTACTAGTAAAGGGCCTAAATACAGTACATCACCCAGAGGTTACTGACTGAATATATTAACAGAATAAATATCTTACACATTGAGATTTTTAGAAACTTGTATGATTGGCACTGTGTTTATTGGGAACAGACGCTTCAGACAACTGAATAGATGACTGTACACATGGATATCACCATATGGCTAATACAGAAATCAAACAGAATACATACTTGGGAATAGTACTGGAGCAGCTGTATTCTCTCTGCCAAAACAAAAACTAGGAGCATGTTGTGTAATTCTGACCAAGAACTGTTAATGTCAAAAACTGGAGTAAAGCTAAAGAAGAACATGGAAATAATAGTGCCAAAATATGATTTAAATAACATTTCTGAAATGACAGAAGAATTGGAGTGGCTCTATTACTGAGGCAAGATGCAGCACAGGCAGTTAGGAACTATGATGCAAGGCCTGACCAAATAATATCAATCATATTTCTGGGAAAACTCACCATCATCATTCAAGTCTATGCTTCAACTACAGATGCTGAAAACGAAATTGGAAGTTTTTATGCAGGCATCCAGGAGGAAACTGATCACCCACCAAAACAAGATATGTTACCCTACTACTTATAATCACAATAGACTAGAATACAAAAATAGGACACCAAGTAGAACCAATATCACTGGGAAACTGATCTAGAGATCAGAAATGAAGCAGAGAATAGCTTGTAGAGTTCTGTGAAGGCAACAATTTATTGCAAGCACATGCTTCAAATAATCTAACAGATGTCTGTACATAAGGACATCAGTAAACTGCCAATACAGAAATTAAACAGACTATGTAATTGGATGCAGGAGATGAAAACGGTGTATTCTCTCTGCCAAAACAAGACCAGGAGCAGACTTTGGTACTGATCATGAGCTATTAATATCAAACACTAGAGTAAAGCTGAACAAGTACATTAAAATAATCCTACCACCAAAATATAATATAAACATAATTTCTGAAGAATTTAAAATTCACATTAAAAATAGATTTGCCTTACTAGATGCAATTGGCTATGAACCAGAACTGTGAATTGAAACTAGGGATGCTGTAAGGAAAGAATGCAAAGAGACAATTCCTGTAGTAAAAAGAAAAGAAAACCTAGATGGATGACAGAAGAGACACTTAAAATATGACGTTAATCCGTTCCGGATTAATCGTCGCTATTCAGAAACATCGTTAAACGGATCGAAAAACCCCATAGGAACGCATTAAACTTAGTTTAATGCGTTCCTATGGGGCCCTAAACTCACCGTTCAGCGATGTTCCTCCATAGTGCCGCCATTTTCGCGCCCTCGGTAAGCGAGGGCAGGGCGCGAAAACACTTGCAGTGGCCATTTTGGAACTGCCGATCAGCTGTTCTGTAAACATCGCAATGCGAAGATCGGTAAGTGAAACGCTTACCGATCATCGCAATGCGAGTTTTCCCTATCTAAACATCGCAATGCGATCACTTTTGCGATTGCAATTGCAACATCGCTATGCGGATTCATCGTTAAACGGTGCGCTCGTTAAGCGAGGCACCACTGTATACAGTATATAATGACCCGCACAAAGAAATACAAGGTAATAACAAAGAGAAGGTGGAAACAGTATACTGAAGACCTACATAGAGAAAATAAAAGGATTCTAAATGTATTTGAAGAAGAATCTTATGATGAAGAAACTACCATTTTAGAAAGTAAAGTAAAAGCTGCTCTTAAAGCACTGGGAAGAAATGAATCACCATGGGTAGATGGGACACTAATAGAATTACAGTAGGACCCCCTTATCCACAGGACTGACAACTGCTGATTCATTTATCCACGTTCTGAAAATACAGATATTAAAATTATTACATGGAAAAATATAAATACAGAATGGATTTTCAAGATGTAATTATCAGAACTTGACACTAGAGGGAACTAGACACTATGCTATATAGATTAGCTACTGCAGGGACGTGGTGGTGCTGCGGGTTAAACCGCAGAAGCCTCTGTGCTGCAAGGTCTGTAGCTCGTCAGCTGTAAGATCCAATCCACATGACAGAGTGAGCGCCTGTCACTTGTCCCAGCTCCCACCAACCTAGCAGTTCGAAAGCATGCAAATGGAAGTAGATAAATAGGGCCCACCCTCGGTGGGAAGGTAACAGCGTTCCATGTCTAAATCGCACTGGCCATGTGATCATGGAAGACTGTCTCCGGACAAACGCTGGCTCTATGGCTTGGACACGGGGATGAGCACCGCCCCCTAGATTCAAATACGACTGGACAAAAAAATTGTCAAGCAGAACCTTTACCTTTACCTTTTTACTGCCATTTCACCTAGTCTCCCAGCAGCTTTCTCCAGAGCAGCTTCATTGTAAAACTCAGAGCTGGATTAGATAGTGAGGAAGAAGAAGGGGCGTTAACCTATGCCAAACTGCCACCTGGGAGAAGTTTTTCACCTCCCAGCCTTCTTGTCTTCCAGTCAGCTCATTCCTCAATACTTCTGGGCAAACAAGGAAATGCATTTTTATTTGTCTTTAAAGAATAAAATCTGCAGAGCCATTGAGGGGAGAGGGAGACATCTTCAGTACATTAAGGAACGAGAGAAGATTTCAATTTAGTTTTTACTCATAGAGGCCCCATAGAGATAAAAATTACAGGTGCAAGGGAGTCCTGGGTCCAACAGATTGTGTTAGCTATAATGCACACTATACAGTATCATTGAGGCAGGGGCTTGGAACTGTTCCTCCAAAGATATGGGGTTCCTATTGTATTCTACGCCTCAAAGACTGTCAAAATCCTAACAAGAATATGCCAACAAATAGGGAAAATACAATGGCCCTCAGACTGGCAATATTCCAATCCCCAAGAAAGGATATGGCAAGGAGCACAGTAATTATAGGATCTTTGCTCTAATTTCCCATAAAAGCAAAGTGATGCTCAAGGTTTTGCAACAAAGGTTTTTACCTTATGACAGTAATTGTGTGAAAAGTTAAAGCAGTAAGAAACGCAGAATATGAGACAGATTGATTCTATAAAGGAAGCAACTGTGGAGATTGTTCATTCATAGGGTTGTCATATGCTGACTGTGACTTGATGGTATATAAGAACATCAGAGGCTTGTCTTTGTCCCAAAACATCACAATCAACAAAAGTAAAATAGTTGTTGTGGGTTTTTCGGGCTCTTTGGCCGTGTTCTGAAGGTTGTTCTT